TCTTCCCTCCAGGGCTTTGTCCCATGGCACTCTACCAAGCAGATCCCTGAAGAGGCCAAAGTCTGCTCTCCTGAAGTCCAGGGTAGTGAGCTTGCTCTGCGCCCTCCTCGGTGCCCTAAGGATCTTGAACTCCACCATTTCGTGGTCAACTTAAAAGACAACCTATAACAATTTATGACTATACTGAAATATCTGATATAATGCATATATGCTTGTAGTATAATGCTAAAGCATGCTTATTATGAAACTAAGGATGCTCTATGAAGGCATGCCTTTTTATGTGCTTTTGTTTTAACATAAACCGGATCTTGAACTCCACCATTTCGTGGTCAACTTAAAAGACAACCTATAACAATTTATGACTATACTGAAATATCTGATATAATGCATATATGCTTGTAGTATAATGCTAAAGCATGCTTATTATGAAACTAAGGATGCTCTATGAAGGCATGCCTTTTTATGTGCTTTTGTTTTAACATAAACCTTCATGCAAGATTTCATGACTGCTGGGCTAGACCAGGTATTTCTAAGTTAAGTTCTGACATTTATCTATCCTTATACCTCATATAGATTATCTTCACCTTAAAAAAATAAAACCTGACAGGTACTTAGAAGACCCAATGGCACAAGAGAGCAAGAGAGAACAAGCCAGTGTGAGTGAGTGTGAGATTTCTCTCAAACAATTGCAGCACTGTAAATCTTTTACCACAAGGCGCACCCAGTGTCTTCTCCAGTGTCTCCTCTTCTGTTTCATATTAGAAGGAATAAAAACAAGCAACAGTTTCCTAAAGCTTGGCTAAGTATACTTGGAAACACACACACTAAATTCAAAACATGCAAGCAAGTTTGGCCTACCCTATCTTACCAGCTGTACATTTATAAATTCATACTTAGAGGAAACAGGGATTGGATGCAAGAGAATTACATGCTGAGTTTGGAAACATTGCAAAATATTTTTGAAATAAAGATATTTGAATGTCTCAGAAGCTCTACAGTTTTGCTTATTCCAAACATTTTAATTACAGAAAATAGAGAAACTGTATTTCAGTTCCTACCAGCCAAAGCTGCATCCTCATCACTTTCTGATCCATATTGCAATGCCATGGTTATTGCTGATAAACGATCCCCTTGGGCTGATCTTTTGTTACTACAAAGAAGAAAAAAAATGTATAAAATTAAAAAGAAAAAAAAAGAGGAGGTTATCATGTTAACCATTAACAGTCACCCAGAGTGTGTAAGTAAACAAGTGAAGCTCATGACTGTTGCCTACGCTATCAGGAATACAGACATGACTATGCAAGAAAAGACTGGAACCCTTAACAAGAGAAACTGTTAACAACCCGTGAGTCTGCCTCTATTTTAAGAGGCGGTCCATCAAACTGAAAAACTGGACACACAATCAGAAAGCTAGAGCTCAAGCTATCTATCTTCTGTCCTATTTTGAATACTTGAGTATTTGAATTATTGGGGGAGAAGGGGGGTGGTAAGTCCCTCCCAATTAATAACTTTGCTATTTGATCCTGTTTTATTGGGATTTGTCTACATGCAGGAATTCAGCACGCTGTAAGCTCTATATGCTCTCTTCTCTCACTCCCCCATTCCCACCATAGGCATTTTCAGCACGCAGAGTGCCTGTATGTGAAGCAGCTTCCTCTGCTTTCTAGGTGGAGTAAATCAGTGTCCACGCTGGCTATGGTCTCACAAAGACTTCTTCAGCATCCCTCTCCTCCTCCCTTTTGTCCCAAACCTGGGGCACAGCATTTCATACCCACAGTGTAGGCTATGCCTGACAATCTGCTTTTTTACTAGGTCAGCTCTTTAGGCACCTCCAGCAATGGGCTCAACCTTGCCCTGTGGGAGCAAAGTGAAGACTGGGAAAAAGCAGATGGGTTGCTTAAAATGACACCAACTCTCTACAAATGCTCAATCCCTTAAAGACCCTTGCAGCTGCTGTGTTAAACCATAGTTTCAGAGTACACACGCAGGGAATTAGCCAGGAGTAGTACTGTTTCAAGACAGTAGCCCACAGACTGTAGACATGAGACCTCTGCTAGGTACCAAAATTCTCAACTGAAGATTGAAAGAACAAACCAGAAAGCCTCCAGTAATCCAGTCTACCCAGCAAGTTTGCCATAAATGCATCCCAAATGCAATACTTTTTTTTTTTCTTCCCTTTTTTTACAGGCTTCATTGGTTTCCATCATCCATCTCTTAATTGTTTAGTCCTACTTTTAGTAAGACTCTTTTTAGTCTCCAAATATAATTTTTCTAGGTTTACAACACATTTCCATGTTATTTTTCACCTGCTTTATTTTGTAACGAAGCTTAACATACTGTTCTTCAGAACATTTCTAAAGAAATAATTGCATACAGAGTATTTCATGACAGGTGTTTTGAAATGTTAAATATAAAATCAAACATGGAAGAGTAATTACAGCAAAGTAACTTATTAAATCATACTTAATAGATAATTGATTTAAATATATTTGAATCTCAAATATTGACGTGCACTCTCAAATAAATTAAAAAAAAAACAAACAAACCAAAATTTTAAATTTTAGTATTTCCATATGATGACGACCCAGCTTTTCCTCCAAGTCCACAATTTACTTACCGATAATATTTGTTAGAAGAATTTCTCTCATCACCAACACTGCCTTTACCCTGTGAGGAAGGACCTGTCAGCTTGGAAGCAGTCAAATTTGATGGAGTCCTTAAGGCAGAAGAGACAAGCCAAGGAAAGGGGAAAAAAAGAGGCCCACCTTAGACCCAAGAAAAGACACAGCAAGGATAAAGCTTTTTACAGAATTACTTTGATAGATCAGCCAAAAGGTTCAGAGACAGATATAAAATGTTTTAAAGCTAAAAGTGAAGTAATACTAAGATACATTTAGTGCCCCAGCATTAATATCAATTTTGTTTATCAAGTCAGAGGAAGGTAACATTTACATTGAGGATTAATAGCTATACACACAGCTCAGCCTACAATAGCAGTGAAAGCAGCCAACAAAATGTTCCTTAGCATCCAGATAAAGCTAATCATACAAATCCAATCATGTTTTATCAATACTTAACAAAATCACTGTCAAGTTGCTTGACAGTGCATATTGTCAAGCAACTTTATTTTGTCATTTTATTTAAGGGAGGACAGTTAAATGCACCAACAAAGAGCCATTTAGTATGACAAAGGATACAGTGAACTCTGTGATAGAAAAGCACGATTTTTGACACAGAGGCAACACGTCTGTAGAACTTAGGTTAGTAGCATTATGATGAATTTGAGCCTGATCCACCAATGACAAAGAAAAACAGATGTAAATTCAGAAGAAAAATATAGTAAATTAACTTTAAATGAACTTATGGGGGTATTTTACCAAAATCAGCAATAGGTAAAGGAGACCCCCCATTTGAGACAATTAAGCAGCTAGGAATTTGAATTAAAAAAAAAAATCATTCTGTGATGCAGATTCAGCAGAAAGAAACAAAAAAAAGGAATAATGGTTCAATAAAAAAAGCAACCAGTGAAATGCAGAACAGCAGGTGAAAGGTCTGGTTTTCATGATACTTTTCTCTCACCCCAATAGTTTTTGCATTCAGCCCAATATTATTGTAGTCTGCTTTAGGCATTATAAATATTTTTTTTTTGCCAAGTTAGAGAAACAAAGAAGGGAGTTGTCAATTATTCTGACATTCAGCTTACTTCAGGATTTGCAGGTCTACTGAGAACACAGTACATAGGAGAACATCTAGAATAAGGTAGCTGAGAAGTGGAAACGGGTTGGCAGTGCAAGAGAGGAATTCAGCTAACAAATACCAGTGTGATTTATCTGTCATCCCTTCTTATGCAAACGGCTTTATTTTGAAGAAAAACAGTTAAGCCTCAAAATTAAACATGACGCACACTTGTGACATCCTGAGTTTCATCAATGGACAACACAGTGAGAAAAATAAAATAAAATCACAATTTAAATAGAAAACCTCTATGCCTACATGTAATTCTAGTTACTGCAAGGCAAACATATATGTACGTTCAGTGCCTGTAGAATCAAGGTCTTCTGGCACTATACATACTTTTAAGAAGGAAAATTATTAAAATATGTGTCCGGAATTACTCCCTAACAGTATTTCTGCTTTTATATTTTTATATGCTCCAACAATGATTCACCCAAACATGGGAAGCATGCTAACGCTGAACAAATGAACCTGAAAAACAACTACACAGGTTGAATGTCTCGAAGCACCAAATAGTAAAAATCAAACTTCCATTTCTTTCACACATAATAATCCTAGGCAATACTTTTAATACTGACACCATCTACACATTTTTCACACAACAAAAAAATTTAAACTGCCTTTCAGTAAAGTAAAGGAGCGCTAGTGTTCTCAGTTGTACCATACAAACCTTTGCAGGAAAGGACAGCAGTTGTTTTCCAGCATCAAATACCAGTAAACAGCTCAAATAAAGAGAGTCCACCTTGTGAAGAGTTTGCTAACTCCTTGGATGACTTGCAAGACGTTGCTTTATTTTTTTAGATAAATGACACAGCTCATACTGGCAAACAACATCTAAACCTATTTTTGAGTGTTACTCATAAGTAAAAAGTTTATACGACAATAAATCTAATTGCATTTCAGATAAGAAAATCTAAAATGACTGCACCACTTCTCTGTACACCATGGATTTTCACAGGAAGATAATGCTGTTTCCTAAATAAAATCATTCCATGAAACAAACAGAGCTATCAACGGTGTTTTACACCTGCCTGTTCAAGACCGAATCTATGCTTCACTAATTAGTAAGTCCAGATCTTCAGTGTCCTGCGCCTCTTTTCATAGCTAGAAATTGGTTTTCAAACAAGAGTTTATATAATGTGGACTTCCCTCTAAATATCTGTCGCCTGATGTCTTGTTCCTGTGTTTCTGCCCCTACCTAAGTAACTGTGAGCTCTCAGGGTTCAGCTCCTAACAAGGTTCAAGAATATCCAGCATTTTCGTAAAGCAAAGCACAACAAAGCACCTTGTTCCTCACTATTCCTTTTCTGTTACTGACTTATAAACACATATGGTGGAAGTCGGCCATGGCTTAAGTTATAAAAGATCCACTGACACTGTTTTTCCACAATCAAGTACATCACAGAAGTATTTCACCATGGAAGTATTTCAATAAAAAGTTTCCTTCCAAAAACTGTTTTACGATTCATAACTTTTAAAACAACAATAAGCCAAGTTTTCAACCAATTATTTCCCACTATATTCTCCACAGCAAAATTAAGGGAATGTCTATAGAGATTTTTATGAGATTATAAAAAGAACTCTATTTGCAGTACCTGATTCGGAGACTTGACTTGGCCAATTCACTGTGTTCAATTTCAGCCTTTTTCATATTAAATATTTTTTTAATCGCATTTGCATCCTGTCAATTAAAAGAATTTTTTTGTTTAATGTTGAAAGGGAAGAATGTTATAGTCAGGTATATCCATCTATCTAAAAATCTAAAACAAAAATGAAGGGGTTTTTACATTTAGATATAAAACAATTTTGCATCAGAAACGAAGCACAGAACAAAGTCTGCCTGAAACACACCCACAGTGGCCTGTAAAAACTGCATAGAATAGCTGAGTAGCTTTGAGTTCATTTTTTGTCATAGCCTTTAAAAAAAAACAAACAAAAACCCTACAATTTGCAAATATGGGCAAATACCACTTCGAACTAAACAGGCAAATGAGTTTCTGTGCCTTTGCAATCAAAAAGTTACTACCATTACCGAGCTTTACAATGCTTGCTCTCTCTCATTCTACACCTGTGGACTCAATACCCGGAGTAACAGTTCACAAAACAGAGATTACAAGTTTTGAGTGAGGTTACAAGTGTCAGTAATGTCAGTAGGAACTGAAAGTACAATCCAAACAGAAGTGCAACTGGCAAAGTCCAAGAACCACTTACATAACTTTATACATACACGAGGTCTCTCACTACAAAGCCCTTAAAAACCGAACACACAAAGGAATAATTTACCACTGAAATTCTCCTACTTTTAGAGTACATGGAAACAGCAACGTGATACTTTGTACACAAAATGCTGGTGAACTAAGCATGAAAAAGATAGGAGGTGCAATTTGGTCACAAAAATATGGCTAAAAGGAAGAGGATCTTCAAAAACTATGCAAAGAAGGCATGACTCCGGTTTTGAAGCTTATGATGAAAACCATAAACAGTTCCTGCAATCTGGAAAAAGGTAACAGCTGAGTACTACCGCTACCACTTGAACCTGTAGTTTCAGCCATTTCAACTTCAATCACAAGTACAGGGATTCTCCATTCCTCCAAAGAAGTCATGTAACTCATATCCTGACATAAAATTTAATTGGGAAAAAAATCATATACCTCAAGGAAAAAAAAAAAAAACCACCATACACCCCAATTATACTAAAAGCAATATAAAAAAAGGAAAAGCCACGAATAGCTATTTTTTAAAAAATGCAAACAGAGTCTTTAGGGCCTTATGCTAAAGATTCATTTAAGGATCAATCAGCACAGGAAGTAGTAAAGAAAATCTGAACGCAAATCAAACTATGAACAACTGAAACTAACCTTGAACACTTGTGATCCAGGCTCATTGTAGGTTTTGGCATTCTTTGCCAGAAGATCTATATCCTTGGCCATTGCATGAATGCTTTTATAAGTTCCATTCTATACAACAAAAAACAGAACTGGTTAAAGTGGCAACCTTCAGACAGCATGAGAACTAAGTCAATAGTGAAAAGCAAAGGGAGTTAATATAGAATAAAGGGAACATTTATAGAAAAACAAAAACATATTTATAAAGAGGACAGATAAGTATGTCACCAAAAAAGAAAGTAACAAACATAAGTGCTAAGTCCTTATAGAGCTTACAAATGCTAAGTGAAAGATTGAAAAAATACTTAATACATTAGATTATCTTAATTTTGAAGGGTTCTGACAAAATGTGATTTTACCTTTATTCTCTAGTTCAATTAGTCTATGTGCTATCCCTCACTATTATACAAAATGCTAGAATTACACAACAAAATTTCAAATTACTGGAGAACTAAGATGAAAAATGCATCAGTACAAAATATCTATTTATAGCACTAGAACAAAAGTAGGTGATGATAATGCATGACCAAGCTTCAATACTTCAATGTTTTACAATAGCAGTACTTGCCAAGGAACTACTTTAAACCATCAAACATCAAGGAAACCAAGATATTCAGGCTCAGTGCCAGCACATTACAGTTTACGATGCTTGATCTTCAACACAGCTACTTCTGCAGCATTAATCCAGGACAGAGCATTAAATCAGCATAGCGTTCAGATTTTTAAGTAGCCGGGGAAAAACACATTGCCTTTCCTACCACCATAAACTTTAAGCATTCTAAAATTGTTAGAAGCCACAGTTAAACAAGTCTATACTCTGACACGTTAATATGCTCATACTGTACCTGTATCCTTTGGGCAATAGTTTTAAGATCTATGGGCTCCTTTATTATTGCATAATAATCTGGATATTGCTGGAAAACAAAAATAATTTATGTATTACTATAAACAGTCACAAAGCTATTGTTCTAATAGCTCATAGAATGAACTATTAGATGAATTGCAGATAAGAACAGTGTAAGCTTCATAAACATAGCACTAGGCTTCAATTTGGGCGAGCCAGATCATGAGGCAGATACAAGGAATTATAATTCATCAATAAACTGACTTAAAGGAACAGTTCTGTCTGAAAGCCAAATACGTGGTGATGGACTTCAGAGTATTTATTTTGCTGGTTAAACTTGTTACACCACAGCCTGCAACAGAACAGTGAAATCAGACATATTTAAAAAGATTAAAAACTCTGCACCAAAAAAAAACAGTTACCTAAACTGGCAGAACAGGGCAAGCCCCAATCTGCAATGAAGGGCTGGGAACGAGTGGGTAGGAGCAAAGAAGGGAGGGAAGCTCTGAAAACAGCTGGAGTTTGCCACTGATGAGACAGGAACAAAGAACTGCACCCTGAGTGTGTCCATCATAGTGTATAACATCAGTTATATACATGTCCAGGTTTCCAACTTAGAACACAACCGATATTATTAAAATACCCACCACTTTAGAAGGAAGTTTCTGAAACAGTTCACTTATTAGGCGTCCTGATGGGTTTGTGGCAACAGCTACAGCTTCAAGAAGCTGTTCAAGAATTTCCTTCAGGTAACCTGGAGATGACTAATATAAGAGATGAAATCACAAAAAGTTTTAATAGCAGCCATAGTGGAGTGCTTCAAGTTGCACTGAAATATATGAGTTTACTTTTCAAAGACAGAAAAAATCAGCTATAAAACATGGATGCAACTTTTGAAAACAACATTGTTTATGCATTTAGGTAAAGCACATGAGAAAACTTTAATTTCACATTTACACTGCAGACTGTCAGACATACATTACATATTGTTAGAATAGACTTGGTTGTCAACATTAATGAAAACATGCATCCCAACATCACAAAAGCCAGACAAGCCCAAACTTCCTATCATCTTATCTGACTTATAAAACTCTCCAGGAACAGCTGCACTAACTGAACGGGACACACGCTGGAGAACGATGTCGTTAGACATGAAGCTTGCTTGCATCAAACCTCAACATTGGCATGATATCAAGCACACATCATATTGGTTTCAACTAAACCAGAACCACATTTTATCCATATCAGAAAACCTCATAACTTTTTTTTTGCTAGGCAAAAGTGAAACACACATACAATGCTGTGAAATTATTAACTAATAAACTTGTATAAGAAATACCTGTTGGGGCATCATTTAGCTATGAAAAGACTTAATGCTTTTTCATATATGGAGGCCAATCTCCCTCTCAGAGTCAGCTGACATACACAGCCATGGCTTCCTCCAACTGCAGCTGTCATGCCCACACTTACTAATTCAGAATTTGTGCCTTGATTGTCATGTCCTTCCTCATCTTCATCTTCCTCCTCAGCATCACCTTTTTGAACAAATTCATTTTTTGTGCGCAAATACAACTCCCATAATTTGCAGGCAGCTTTATATTCAGGAGAATCAGGCTGCAAAAACAAATCATATATTCTACTCAAAATTCAGATCATTCTTATCTGAAGGAAATTTATAAATTATTAGTTGAAAGGTATTAAATGCATTAAATAACAGAAAACCTGGGAAATTCCTGCTTCAGTCGTTCTTCAACAGAGATGTTAAGAATCGCAATAAGCGCTAGAAAATATAACCTCTATCGCTCCAAAGCATCTAAGTCTTTTGGAAAACTTAGCAATAAAATTACTTGGGTTGAGGCTTGGAAAAGCCTGTAAGATGAATCTGGAGAAATCATTAAGTTTTGTTGCAGCATAACACTACTGGCATTTAAAATAGACTCAATATCAGTATGCCAGAAATGTGATTTAAGCCAATACTGCTGCAATTGTGTGGCACTTGAAAATTGATTTCTACGGAGGAAGAATGCCAATAAATGTGCCAATATCTCTGAAAGCACTGCAAGGATATACACTCTTCCATAACTCAGCATTAACTGTGAAATTCCAAAGAACTTGACAACACGCTACCACCTGGGTACACATCCAGGTAAATTTTCTGGAAGAGCTAGAAGCATTAGTAGGCAAATTAAGTTTTTTAAATACCCAGTTGGTAGTGGCAGACAAGCATGTGCCTATTAACATTGCTACTTAAGAACATTACCCAGAAAAGACTGCTTTTCCACTCTTTCATACTTTTCTTTCCCTTTCCTCTGTCACTTAACCTCTATTTCAGATACTCCTGCAGATATGTCACCTTATTACTGCTGATTATGCTCTTCTTCACTCTCTCAACCTCTGACAGCTTGTAATACAAATGAGAAACCAACATGAGAACTATTCTTAAGCTTACCTTATTAGGCTTAAATATTCTCAAGACATTAGACCAGGTGTTAATTACAAGGAACAGATTTAAAGGGTATTCTGCTCCACTAGTCTGCTTCCTTCTGTATTAACGCAAGATGCTCAAAAGTGTAAGACTTGAACCGAAATACTAAAAACCAAAGGTTTCCATTCTAATCTAGCATTGCCAATAAAACACCTGCTGCAATAAAGACCTTGACAATGAATCAGCCGTCCCTGTTTTATATGCGTCATTGGAACTGCCGTGGGCAAAGTGGAAGATGAAAAAAAGAAGAGGTTATGTTTGTGTGCCATACCTCCAGCTCACAACTCCATTTCTCTGGAAATGTCAACATTCCTTCATCCTAGAATGATGGCTACCTATTTCTATTCTACACGCAAGATTTTTATGATACAGGCAGAATTTCGAATCCACTATGCTGTAGGCAAAGGCAGCACACATTTTGTAAAACTCTAATCGTTCTTTCCTGCTATCAAGTCCTTCTCCCTCATGTAGAAACCATGAAAAAGCCAACATTAATGGCCGAGTGCCTTGCAAAGCTTCAGGAGTACACAATGAATTTGGAAATCTTTGTATTTTTTCTACTGTAACCAGAATGTGCAAATGCATTAATCCATAAATCTGATTGTTTTTCAAAAAGCTACACACACACACACACAAATGTAAACAAAATAAACATTGCTTTTCTGAATGTCACCTGGTTACACTGGTTGGGTTATTCAGAAAGCAGTCATTTGGATCATCTCCAAAGTCAAAGATATATGAAAGGTAATATTAGCAGTTTTAGATGTCACCACATACAATTTCACTGGTTTAGGTATTTAACATAGCCTTCCACTGAACGAGATTAATCCAATTTTTTCCCACTTCCTTACAGCAACTGCAATAAAACCCATTAACATCTGAAATAAAACACGTATCCAGTTTGGGGGAATGGACATGGGGGTTGCAACCCTGATGAAATACACCATCATATACACTCACAATCTATCATCACTGACCACGATAATCAATGTGCCTTTTTTTCATATTGTTAAATGGCCAATGGAAGAGAAAGATTCAACACTCCTACTGCATGCTTGCTGTTATTTATAAACTCTTCCTTTTGGGAAAAAAAATACTCTTTTTCTATTTCAAAAGGTCACACAGAGTGTGTTGTAAAATGGGAAGGCTTTGACAGAAGAATATTTTTCTCAGTTTACGTCTCTATTTTTGCTTTCCATCTCTTTTGGAAAACTACATGAGGACCCTCCCCACATTATTTTATAGCTTTCCACAGAAAAATTGCTATAGTAGGACATCTTACAAAGATACAGCGAACCTTACAGAAATATATCCAAACAACTGCAATGTGTGCTGTTCTCTTACCAATAATAAAGACTAAACCGAAAATTTTTTGGCCAAACCAAGGAAAAACTTGAACATATCTCTACCACTTTTACAATGAATTTGAGCCTTTATATGTATTTTCCTCACCTTATAATATGCCTTCGCGTTGTTAAAGAGAAGCTGAAAATCAGCAGTCAGCACATTCACATCATCATACTCCTCCATCTTTAGCTTTTGTTGGATTTTCATTAAATCGATTGGCTGAGAAACCACTTCATAATAATCTGGCTGATTTCTGTTGCAATGACAAAAAAGGCATTATATTCCAAGCAGTAAAACCAAAACCACAGCACTAAAGTTTGTATGTGCCTATGACTAAATAAAACAAAGAAAATTCCAATACATTTTTGTTACAGCTAGAAGATCTGGACAGTGGTCTATTAGTAGGCTGACTTCATTACATGTTCTGCTATCATCCTCAATTTTCTGAGTTTAAGATAAAACTCAGTCTCTTACTTTATCTATTGCATTTTCAAGGGTCACTTCTATTAATCTTCCCAAGATATACCCTTAGTATCAGATTCCACCACTTATGTGGAATATTTTATAGTCAAAGACATAGATGTTTTAGGCAGGTGTCACAAGAAACATTTTAAATTAACTCAGTGTATCCTTTTTTGACTGAAAAAGGGCACCAGTGTTAGCATGCCCCATTGAATAATTACATCAAAGACTCGGATCAAACACTGGTGTGAAACTATGACATATTTAGCTTAAATTTTTCACAGCTAATAATGCTGAAGTATTCCTCAATATCCATTTACTCCCTGATTAAATCTCAGGTTCAAGGCTTAACCAGACCCATGGTCTTACCTTCGCTTCGGTGCCCTAATGAAAAGCTCACAAAGGAGCCTGCCCTGTTCATCTTTGTAATCTCTGATGGTGTTGTAAAGTTCATGGCATACAGCAATCTAAAATGCAAGAACAATAAAGTAATGAAAAAGGAGAAAATTTTAAGGAGGTAACAAATCAAAGCCTGCTTACAATGGGAAAGACAAGCTGCCAATCCACAGCGTGCTCTAAAGCAGAAGTATGAAGAAATTGGTGCATCTCATACATTAGTACGATACCTGACAAGTATGCCAGGTACTGCAGAATTTTAATTTATTTTTTTGAACATAGGGAGCTTTCTTTCAATGCTAATTCTAAGTAAAACACCCAAAATGTAAATTAATTCAGTACAATTCTCTCCGAGTTATAGACAATTAAGACAACGACAGGGGTTCTTCCGCCCTGCAATTAATTAAAATTAGACTGCTAACTCAAAGGCGTAACAGAGACATTGTACACTTCAGCAATCACTGCTTGTGCCATTCCCCACTTATCTCTATCTGCATTTGCTATTCAGACACAGCTCTCAACTTCTGCACGTTATGATTTCAGCTCCTTCTCCAACATCCTTCCATCTGCTAAAATCATCAGCAAAAAAGGAAAAGCAGCAAAAGGAAAATGGGAAAGAAAAAGATGAAACTGGGGAGACAAGAACAAGCCAAAGCTGAATGAGATCCTAAACAAAGCATAGCCAAGGCAGCAACAGATTCAGGGCCAGTGTATACGTGCTACATTTGATCATCCATTTTACAATCCAGCATTTCCCAGACAGGGATACAGTAACCCCAAGAAAAAAAGTTGTGAATAATAAGACGGTACTAACAGGATCTACAGTTGGGAGATTGGAAAGTCTCCTCCTCTTTCTGCTTGGGCCTGGTATATTCGTGGAGTGATGGCCATCATCAAAGTCTCCTCCGCTGATGCTGCTGGAAGGCGAGGTAGCTCTTCGCCTCTTGGAACCCATGGAATCCAACTTCTTCTATAATGAAGACAGATGTTCTTAAACTCATGGCATTGCATCCAAACTCTCTGGTGAGAGCTAACTATAAAGCTAGCAATGCTTAGGATGAGTCACATACGTTTGTTATATACTACAGTTCAGTTAAACCACATATCTAAACACCAGCTTTTTGAAAATGGGCAAGAGTAAAGGGAAATCAAAATGGTCCTACAGTTTTACAGTCACTGATGACAGCAATGTCAGAAAGCCCAGGGCTCACAGTGATGAAGATGAATTTAGCAGCTCTTACTAGGATACGTTCTTAAACTATCTACATTTTGATACCTCATCCATGCATGATAACCAAGCGAGAACCACTGTTTTAATGGAAAAAGCTGTACAGAGACACGTGCTCAGTTCTGCTGTAAAAGCATGTCATTCCATGTCAAATTAAAAAAAAAAAAAACCACAACTAACCAAACAAAAAAAAAACCCATGAAGACAACAAATTACAAACAAAAATTCAAATGGCTACTGAATACCTTGTCTTAGATTCAAGCCAAAAAAAGGTCTGGACCATCATGTGACCTGCCACTCCCATTTCATGTGTAGGATGAATGGCTCAATCATCAAGAAGTAAAAAAAGCCACCTCCTTTTTTGGCCATAGTTTTCCATTTACCAACACAAACAGTGACAAATGAATAACCACCATCCAACAACTATGGTGATTTACTGAACAAGTTGTTGGCTCTTTCCCAACTTCCAGTGACAGCATCAGAAAAATATCTTTATTTGTAGCTGCCTCAAAGGCTGAAGACAGAATAGAACCATCTATCCCAGCCTATACCCATTTTCCAACCAAATCAAGGAACTTCTTCTAGGAAGCACTCAGTTGATTTACAAGGTATGGCAGCACAACATAACCTCATTAGAGCATTTATGTTAGAGACAGAATTAATTTCATGCAGACAAATGAGATGAATAAGGCAGGAATAATTAACAGTTAGGATAAAGAAAAGCAAAAGCCTAAAGCAGAGGAATGGAGAGAATGGTGCACATACAATCAATAATTTACCAGATTTACCAGAGTACAACCAGCACCTCGAAAAGCCAGTCTCCTCATAGTGTCTGAGGGCCAAGTACAGATACTGGGAGAAGGTAACACTCTAAGAGTAGCAAACGAGCAATGGTGTTAGTACAGCCAAAACTGGAAGACAAGAAAAAGGAAAGAGAGAGAGAAGAAAACTGAGAGTAGATAGATAATTAAAGAATAAAATCAAAGAATATATTGAATAATTACAGTGACAGAGAAAAAAAGCAAAAAACAGAAGGTAACTTTTTTTAGCCTAACAGAAACTCTACAAAGCAATTTTGTACACAGAATGCTAGACATTTCTGTCATTTTTACAGTAAAAACACATTTCTCTCATGTTCCTGAATACATATTACAGATTTCACAGCCCCTTGCTAGAGAATGATTCATCAAGCAGAGCAGGGAGTAAACACAAGCGATATCTGACCTGAGAGTAAAAACCAGAAAGCAGTAAAACTTACAGAATGCGAAGTTGTACAGTGCTTATAACAATAAGAAAATAATTTTAAAGGTCAAGAGACATTTAATAGACTCTCTAGTGATGATGCACCTCCATCAGTCTTCAGAGTGGATTTTTATCCTCAAAAATAAGCAACATTAAGTATCCAGCCATACAGGTTCACCATATGGTGATATACCTGTTTCAATTTCTAAGCAGTCTCCGAGTCTGATTTTTTTTCAGAAATTCCATGTGAAATGTACAGAACCATTTCATGGCAAAATGATTGCTTCTATTTAGTTCATACAACTACTGCCTTCAATCAAACCCCAGAGAGATTGTTTTCCTGTTCAGTATTCTGGACATTTTCATAACACGCACATACAGAGAAACTCTGTGCTTTATTAGCAGGCAATTCATCTCAGGAACGGACAACCAGCCTGTCGCTTTTGGCACTGCCTCCAGCTTTTATCTGAGAGCTACAGTATCGAATGGCTAACACCAGGCGTGTGCTGATGTGGAGGCTGCTAGAAAAACACAAGTTCTTGGTTGTGAAAGAAAGGCAGGAGGGACTACTGCAATCAATAATTCTGGTTCACCCAGGAATCCAAAAGTACACTCAGTCTAATCCCATCCTGAAATAAAGATTTGGAGACCCCCCAACCGGCACCTGCCTGCAAACTGCCTACAGGCTTCTCCATGCCCGTTATCTGAGGCACGTGCGCTGTGGCTCTCAGCCATATGCAGACACCGGTGTACGCTTGTACAATCAAGACACCTGGCTGTTCTGTACACAGCCTCCAAAAACATTTTTCTCCTCTAATAACCAAGGGAGACTTATCACAGTCTGAACAACATCAGGAATACTCAGTGAGAGAACTGCTTACGTAAAACTCCTACTGAATGTCAGGCTCCAAAATACAAACTTCTCTCTAGATCTCCACACTCATAAACACAGATAATCCTACTGTGCACAGAAATGTATTATGTTTTAATTAAGAACAGGTCTCCTAGACTTTCTTCTGCAACGTAACTGCTAGCTCACAAATCTCTCAACAGTCACACCAAGAATCTCCACCACCACAAACAAGCCGTCTCCTGTGCAACAGGAGCTTGGGCATCTTTTTAATAATTGCTCACATTGCTCATAAAAATGTCACATAACCGTAGATAAGTCTGTAAGAAATGCTTTGGCCATTACTAATATACATGTATACTAATATATACACAACGGGTGGAAGATTGCCTCTCCCAAAAGCTATACTACTGATCAGCACAAGTATTACCCAGTCTAACCTCATTAAATGAGCAGTTTTTACGTGCATTTGAGACAACACGCTCAAAACAAGCCAAGGAGGTTCTAGCACACATTTCATTTTCTGCCTCCGAGTAGAAAAAAGCTAAAAGCCGATAGATACCACGGAAAGTATTTTATCGTTATCAGGATCTCCCACGTTTCAACAGAAATACTCAATAAATCGTGGTAAATTTAGCAAACGGAACAAGGGAGAGAAACACAGCCAGAATTTCCCCCGATTACGGATCACATTGAAACCAGCTACAACATAGGAAAAGGGGGACGGCAGCAACCAGACGCTATAAAAGGATAAAGTTGGTGAAGAAGTGAGAGGCACAACGCACCGATCGTTTATCAACACTGGGACAAGAAACAAAGAGGCAAAACACGTAATTTTCCCAAACCGTCCCGCAGGCGGGCCCCTGCCCGCAGCCGGCTCGCACCCTGCCCGGTTTAAGAGGTGCTATTGTTGGCCGGAGAAGAAGGAGACAAAGAAAAACACCTTTTCGGGCACCGGCCCAGCCTGTGCCCTCACAGCCTGACAGGACGATGTCCCCTCCCCGGCCCGCGCTGCCACCCACACCGGGCAGGACACGCTCCCGTCCCCCGGGCCTCGCTCCAGAGGCCCCGGGA